GTTCTTCACGGTTCACGGTGTTGGAGCTGAACAGTGGTTGAGCTGTGACCTGTAGATGAAAAGAGCCTTTGCTCCATACAAACACATTAGTATGTACAAGGACAACAGGTGCCCATGCTGGATTCACACTATTATGCATCAATTTCTATCAAAATCAACAATAAAGGTGACTAGAAAAAAGGTTGTTTAAAACCAATTACCATTCCGTTTAGCTCTTGAAGTCTTGTAGAAAATATGCAGTTCTAATGTTATTTCAGCATTCAAAAATAATTTATAAGTGGAGACCTTCATTCACTGTGTTCTGTGGGATTTTTCTCCTTATTTTATGGTCTGTCAGGTAAAAAAAAAAAAAATCAATAAATCTGATTGCTTAGAAATAGTACACCTTGCCCAACAATCTACAACCTCAATTTTTTTCAAAACCAAACATAAAACAAATGGTTTACATTTACAAATGGGCTTTTATACCAAAGACCCTCAAATATTAAACAAACAGATATATAATTTTATGCATACAGATCAATTTTTACTGTGTGTGAAAAGGAAAACATGTTGCTAACTTAGCTTTTGTATTGTTACTGTACCAAAGCCAATATAAGTATTAAAATATTATCTGAAAATGTTTACTTTGTATTAAGTTGACAGTATCTGTATCTTATTCTACCCACTATTAATGTTAGATTAATAAACCCCAAGATAATTTTTTCAATTAAATTATTTGAATAATATTTAAAGAAGCATAAAAGTTGAAAGATAAAACACTTCTTTTCCCCAAAAAAAAACTATATTCAGATTTTTTTTTACTGTTAAAAATGTGTCAATAAAATAAACAATTAATTTAGAATCAAATATTTTTTTTTCTAACCAGTTTTTAGAAATAAAAAAATGAAATCATATAACATCACTAAATTCTGTAAATATTTGAAATATATTTAATTTATATTTAAAATAAACAGGTTAACTTAGACATGCATAAAAATACACTTTTGATTTTTTTCAGTCAAATATTCTGCAGACCACTTCAAATCACTGATAAAACTGTAGTGTCCCATTTACCTTTTGTATTGTCTTGATTTGGATTCGTGGCCAACTGTATTGAGATTCCCAGTGCACATCAGGAACTAAAAGATAGAAAGGGGCTGATAGGAAAGATAGCCAAAGGTCTTCCCACATTCCTTTGCCCAAAGCAAAGCTTAAATTTCAACCAAAACTCTCAGACAAGGAAAACAATGAACTATTTAGTCCGAGACTCACTTTAGACCGTTTGAACACATATCACAGTGAAACCAACGTTACATAACAGAAGACGACAAATAAAGAACTGACACACTGTTGGCCTGACTTGACTCGCAGATCTTTAGCATGATAAATGCGTTTAGCCTCAACCTCTAATTATAAAAGCAAATAAACATCTGGTTGTTCCGGACACGTTTATAGGAAACGGTAGCGTTTACGGGCGAGATGATTGCCGAAGCCGCATTAACCCTCATTCTGACAGATGTTTTGTAAGTGTTTGGCTATGATTGCCGTCAAAAGCAGCAAAATGCAATTAGCCTCCTAATCGAGGATCCAAAACTGTGGCGGAAGTCATCTACAGCAAACGCGCTGTGTCCAATTATTTACCTCTCCTACATTAACGCTGATGGATAGTACTAATGAAGCCAGCACCACAGGCTGTGAGTGAGTGAGTGTGTGTGTGTGTGGGTGTGTGTGTGTGT